GCCCGGGCCGCGGCCGAGGGCAGGGAGCCCGGGCCCGGCCACCCACCCGGCTCCCCGGCCCCGCTGCCCCACGCCGAGGCCCACGAGTTCTGGAAGCACCAGCAGCAGCTGCACTGCCTGAGCCTCCTCTACCTCTTTTCCGTCTGCCACATCCTGCTGTTGGTGCACCCCACCTGCTCCTTTGACATCACCTACGACCGCGTCTTCAGGGCGCTGGATGGGCTGCGCCAGAAGGTCCTGCCCTCTCTGAAGGCTGCTATTAAAGACTGCCCGGTGGGCAAGGAGTGGAAGCTCAACTGCAGGCCGTGCCCTCCGCGCCTCCTCTTCCTCTTCCAGCTCAATGGGGCCCTGAAGGTGGACCCACTCCCAGGCAGGGGCCAGGACCCTTGCGTTCACCTGGAAAAGCCGCCCCCCAAGAAGCACTCCCCAAAGAGGAGGTTGCAGCATGCGCTGGAGGACCAGATCTACCGCATCTTCCGAAAGAGCAGGGTGCTAACCAACCAGAGTATCAACTGCCTCTTCACTGTGCCTGCTAACCAGGCCTTCGTCTACATCGTGGCTGGCGGGGCCCAGGATGGAGAGGATCCAGTGGCCATGCTTCTCGACCAACTGAGGAGCAACTGCACCATGAGAGAGACCGACTCGCTGCTGGCTCCCACCTTATCTGGACCCAGGAGGTACCAGATGATGCGGCATGGCAGACAGCAGTTGTCCTTCTATGCAGAGAGTAGCAGCAGCAGCTCCAGCTCCTCCGGGCAACTTGTGGACTGCACCCTCAAGGAGTTCTTGTGGCAGCATGTGGAGCTGGTGCTCAGCAAGAAGGGCTTCGATGACAGTGTGGGGAGGAACCCGCAGCCTTCTCATTTTGAGCTCCCAACCTACCAAAAGTGGGTTGCTGCAGCTTTAAAACTGTATGAAGTGACCATTGAAGGCAAAGATGATGACCCAACTTCTCTCACTGGGGAACTGAGTTCGAAAATCATGGGCAGCATCAAAGTTTTGGAAGGGTATTTAGACATAGACACTAAATTCTCTGAAAACCGTTGCCAGAAAGCTCTCCCCATGGCCCACAGTGCATATCAATCCAACCTGCCCCATAATTACACCATGACAGTCCATAAGAATCAACTGGCGCAAGCTTTGCGTGTGTACAGTCAGCATGCCCGTGGACCAGCCTTTCATAAATATGCCATGCAGCTTAACGAGGACTGTTTCAAGTTCTGGAGCAATGGACATCAGCTTTGCGAAGAGCGAAGTTTAACTGACCAGCACTGTGTGCATAAATTCCATTTGCTCCCAAAAGCAGGTAAAGAAGCTTGTTTGTGGTTGGTTCTTGTATTTTAATTTTGTTTGTGCTTTAAAATGTCTTGTCTTAAGGTGAACACAAGAATTTCTTGCACATTTAGGGAAGATGAAAGCTTGACAGCTTTAAAGCTTCGTTCTCTTAGAGTGGGGTTAGTTACATTAGAGTTGCTATTCAAACTTCTTTTATGTTGCCCTGCTGAGATGCCTAATCCCCATCAGGAGTGACCGTTATTATTTGGAAATAGTTCAGTTTTCATGGTCAATTCAGTCATTGTCTCCTTTGCAGTTTATTGCATGTGATGGGAGTGTGTGTGATGTCTTTGCATTGCACAGGACTAGAATATCAAAGAAACCATAGATGGTCATGAATGACTGTTATGCTATCAGTGCTCTAAAAGTGCAATGTGCAATGATTATTCTCATGTTCTTGTGCTGTGTAGTCCCCTAAATGTGATCTTAAAACAAATTGAAAACACTTCTACTCTTGTTGAGTAATGTTTAGATATAAGTCCACTGTTAGTCGTAACTTTGCTTCTGTCTATGCTAATTAAAGATGTCACATTGGAGAAATATAAAAGAGGATAAAACTTATCTCAAAATCTTTGTGCCCTCCCCCCCCCCTTTTTTAATAGCTCGATTGACTTGAACAAGGATCAGAAACTGTGTAAAATACACTTATTGCAGGCAGAAGAACTACATATGCATTTTAGGAAGAGCTTCTAAAAGCAAAGAAGGCTCACTACATCGTGATGAACGTGGGAAAGGGAGAAGGAATTTCCCAATTAACTGGCATTGCTGGCAAATAACTTTGCATATGTATATAGCAAGGAGAAGGCAGTAGATGAAGGGAAACAATCTCTAGGAATAGCAAGCTACTTCTCTTGGGTTTGACTGATTTACTTTTAGGGGAGAAGCCAGAAGCAGATAGAAATCCTCCAGTTCTGTACCACAACAGCCGGGCTCGTTCCACTGGTGCCTGTAACTGTGGAAGGAAACAAGCGCCTCGGGATGACCCGTTTGATATCAAAGCAGCTAATTATGACTTCTACCAGGTAACTATTAAGTCTCTTCTTTTATTTCAAGCAGCACTTTTGCTTTATCAACAAAGCCTGTATTCTGAAGTGACCAAGAGTAAGTTTTCCTCTTAACCCTATCAATGTGTAGATATTGTCTTGGGGAAGAGACTTCTGAGAGCAGAAATTGTGTGTATAGTTGGGTGATCAGAATGGGCACTTTCTGTCTCCACCGCTCTATGCAGACAGAAGCATCTTTACATTTCAAGTGCGTTGGTTCCTGTAAATTTTAAATCCGTGGTGTGCATAAGCTGTACTCCCATCGATGCTTTTATTTTCACATTGTGCAAACCTCTGGAATCTTCCTTTTTCTTTTTTTTTAATCTGTTTGCTATACTTAATTATACTTACTGAACGTTATGACTTTGAACTCCCTCATCACTGAGATGGAAGATGTAAAATTAATCTCATTCTTTTTCATAGCTGCTGGAAGAGAAATGCTGTGGGAAACTGGAGCACATCAACTTCCCCGTATTTCAGCCAAGCACACCTGATCCAGCACCTGCTAGGGATGAGTCATCGCCTGCCCCTCCAGAGGGAGAGATTGAGAAACTTAAAGAAAAAGAACCTCAGACTCAGGGAGAAAGCACAGGCCTAAGCTTAGCCCTCAGCCTGGGTCAGTCGACAGGCAGCTTGGGCACTTACCCGCCTGACCCCCAGGGTGGAGGTGACAATGCAGAAAGCCACGGGCAGAGTGGGGACTCCAAAAGTGAGAAGAGGCCAAGCCTGGTCGATCGCCAAGCATCCACTGTCGAGTACCTCCCTGGGATGCTCCATTCTAATTGCCCCAAAGGCCTTTTGCCCAAATTCTCCAGTTGGGCACTGGTCAAGCTGGGCCCTGCTAAGGCTTACAACTTCCACACTGGCTTAGACCAACAAGGCTTTATCCCGGGAACAAACTACTTAATGCCTTGGGACATTGTCATCAGGACAAGAACCGAAGATGAAGGAGACTTGGATACCAATTCCTGGCCTGCACCTAACAAAGCTGTTCCTGGAAAAAGAAGCGCAGTTGTGATGGGAAGAGGAAGACGGAGAGATGACATAGCTCGAGCTTTTGTAGGATTTGAGTATGAAGATGCACGTGGTAGGAGGTTCATGTGTTCAGGGCCTGATAAGGTCATGAAGGTGATGGGAGGGGGGCCAAAGGAATCTGCTATCAAAGCCCTCAATTCTGACATGCCACTGTACATCCTGTCATCGACTCAGGGACGAGGACTCAAGCCACATTATGCTCAGTTTATGAGACTCTTTGTGGTGGTTCCTGATGCTCCACTGCAAATAACATTAACACCTCAGGTAAGAAATGGAAAAGGGAATCTGGTAACTGCAGAGAAAGAGTGGAGAGTTACAACATCCCCTGCAGGCCTGGGAGGCACAGGAGGGATAGGCAAAGGGTGTTGGAGGGATACTTACCCATTGCAATGCAAAACAGAACTTCAGTCAAGTTCTGTTAAGCCAGTAGTGGACTGTTGGTTGTCTAGGTAAAAGAGCTTGGAAATGAAATGTGAGTTCACTGCTGAGCAGTTGGGTTCATAACAAATCGATCTTGCCACTTAACATTTTTAGTGGAAAGGTCAATGACTGAATGGACTTTGGCAACAAATTTCGCCTGTTTCTTTAGGAGGAGTTCTCAGTTCAGGTTTCAAATGGCATGATAGCTGGAGCAGGGAAGTCTGCCATAGTGCTGGTACCTGTCTTCTAAACAGCTGTTTTTTCAAATGTCAAGGTTGGCTTATGCCAGCTTTATACTTTTTAGAAAATAAATTTTAGAAATACTTTATCAAGGGTGACTTCAGAGCATTCTATTAGATTGAAAGAGCACTTAAGATAACTCTGCTACAGAAAATGTGCTGTAATAATCTTTTTTTTTTTAAGATCATAAGTGAGTAATGGCTATGTAAGAATTAATTTAACATTTTAAATGTCATAGAGAAAAGCAGTGACTCATTGCTGAGGTGAATTATTATGATTAGTTACCCTTTGAATCTCAGAGGTAAAAAGATGTCTTTAATTGGAGATTTTTCTCCTATTTTCAAGTGTGTCCCTAAGAAACAGAGGAAAGAGCTCCATTTACACCG